GACTAACAAGTCTTCTGGCGTGTCTGGTGTGCGTCTCGTTTTTTGCTGTGCCGATCTTAATTCCCAAGTCTGCCATTCTGGCGAGTGATGTGGATTCACCGCCACCAAAGTCCTCTATCCTTCCCATTTCTCTAAGGGCATTGATAATATCAGCATGATCCATAGGCTGACCGAAGGTAGTGATAGCGGATCCAACCAACTTGTCAGCTCTTTCATTTCCATCGACGCCTGCGTGTCCCGGATCAAAAATAAAGGTGACTCCACGCACAGTGGACTTCTGTAATGATTCACGCCATTGTCTTCGCACTGAACCTGCCTGAACCCTCCGGATCATACTCATTGAATCACTGAGTATACACACGCGGGTGTATTTTTGTGTTTCAAGCCAGGCAAGCGCTTGCGTCACTGCCATCACCTCCATCGTCATGCTGCTGGTTGTCATGGAAAAGGCGCCGTTGGCTTCTTTGACTGTTTTGCCCGCTGAGCGTGCTGTAAATGCCCATGCGCTTCTTCTTTGGCGTATTACGGATCCGTCTGTGTAGATTATTGCATCTGCTTCGTCTGAATTTTCACCGATGAGAGCGTTGACCTCTGCATTAACAGCAACAGGATTATTTTCTCTACATCGCCTGTCGAGTGTGACAATACAGAAAAATGTACAAATAAACGCCTGAGGCATAGGTATCCATTCTGCACCAGGTATGATGTCGGTTAGGCTGCATATTTGCCTAATAACATCTTCTGCCCGACCTAGCCACGATTTCCCCCTCTTCAGTCTGTCGCCCTTTTCACTAAAAAGCGCTTGATGCAGTGGGTGTTTCTTAACAGCACATATTTTGAGATATGCCCGAGCCCTCCACATCCTGATCCTTTGGTTCATTGTTAGAAAGTCAAGTAGATACCTCATTGCTCCACAGATTGTGTCTCTTGTACATCCCAAAATAATGCGCATGGCTTCATTTTGCACATTTTCGAGTCGTTCAATCTGGGTAGCACTGACAGTGAGGATGGCCAGAGCGTATTCAATGGGGGAAAGGACCAGACCGTAGAAAAGAAGTATTAGTAGTCTTTGCTCAATATTGGAAGCAGCCATAATCCTCATTGCAGATAGACCTTTGCGTGCTTTTGTTATCACATGGTCAACGTGTTCACTGAATGACAAGCTGCGATCGAACCTCACCCCGAGAAACGTCATAACGTTGGTTCTGATCAATACATTATCACGCATTTTCACTTCTGGTAAGTCCGACTTGACAATGTGATTGTTCAAAGAGAACCATGACACTGATGCCTTCGAAGGATTGACATAGGCATTGGAACCATCACACCAGGCGGCAATTCGATTGAGTTCTTTGTGCATTGTGGTGGCGATCTCCTGTCTATCACGCCCTCGTCGATAAATCAAAATGTCATCAGCAAATGACAAAGTCCTTCCCTTTCCATTCAACTGCTGCTCAGTGATCATCACCGTATAAACGTTGAATAAGACTGGTGATAGCGGTGATCCCTGTGGCAAGCCTGGACATAACGTTTGCGGTTCTGAGGACCAGCTACCACATCTTAGTACAATCTTTCTCTGGAACAGGACCGCAGCAATCCAGCGGATCAGAATAGGATTAACTTCTAGTTTAAGCAGTAATTGCATTAAATAATCATATGGTACTTTATTGCAGGCATCTTCTAAGTCCAACACTGCCGCACATGTCTCTCCTTTAATCTGAAATCCCTCGTACACATCGTAGGCGAAAACTGCAGCATTGAACCATGTCTCTTTATTTAACCTGTACCCTCCAAGTGTTGGTGGGAACTTATCATGTAGTTCCAAGTAGGTGGTCAATCTTTGTTCGACAATGTTTTCCAAAAGTTTGCCAACAGTATTCTGCATCGACAAAAATTGTTCATAACAACGACCCTGAAATCCCATGCTATAACTGAGGAGGACTTTTTTTTTAAAGCTGGCGGGTCTTGCTAGTCACACTCGCCATCGCCTTGGGTTGTGAGTCCATGCCTTATCATAGCGCAATATAACACTATCGTCTGGAAAAACCGATAGTTGCCAATCAGTGGGAGACGCAAAAGGATGGGAAGGGAAGGGGGGAGTGGGGGTGGGGGTGGGGGGGGCGCTGAGCACCTTGTTTGTGTTTGAATCGTTTATCAGCAGGGTCTCAACATACACATTTCCGTTTAATTCAGTAATTTATCATCATCTTAAAAACAGAAAGACATACTCTTTTGTGTGAGTACCAACCAATACCTAACCAGCTTTGTAAGGTTCTTCTTTCTCTTCTGCATTCCGATCCGTTGAGGTTCATAGCTGCAGATATCACCCGCCTCCATTCATCTCTCTGATTAGCCTTCTCTTTCCAGTTGGTAACACCAAGTGTTTGCAAGTCTGTCTGGATATTATCTCTCTATCTTCTTCTTGGTAAGGTTTTGATTGAAATGATTTATTCCGCTACCGGCGGACAGGTGAGAATTTGTATTTGTCGCAAGGCTGGGAAATGGGACATAACCAGTGTTGCCACTTTGGATCTTTTATATCCAAATTTAGATCTTTTTCATTGCATTTAGATACTGTTTTTGACGTTTAGATCGTAAATATTTTTCTAGATACTTTACATATGGAGTTAGATATTTTATAGATTTTTTTCTTTCATTGTCTATTTAATAATTACTGTGTAAAATATTTACTACAATATTTTTGTTTTGGTCTGGCATGTACATTGCGACAACTGCCATTACTTAAACTTTGAACTCTCACTGGGGTCAACGCACAAATACCTGGCAGCCCCGGTACTGATTAATAAAAACGCGCGTAAATCATACTAACTTTGTTTCAACCGTATCCTCACTGTGCTGACTTTGCGTTTCTTTTTCATGTGATTTAAAAAAAAAAAAAAAACAATTGCTCACCTTCTTATGTGGCTTTCACTTAAAAAAAAACCTTTCAACATGCCAAAGGTAAAGTATGAGCACAAAATATAGAAAGAGTGGTTGCATGATGACAAAATTAAAAACTGCGGATATGACCAAAGCTTGTTGTAAGTACTGCAAGTGTGAAATTAAAGCGAAAATACAAAACTCAAAGAGTCATGCAGAGACTAAAAAAGCATAAAACTGCAGTTTCATTTAAAGATATTACACCGCTGACATCTGTTTTCAGAACTGTGCTGATAAATGAATCATCAAAAGTTGAAGTATCAGTCGCAATTTTTTTAATTTGTCACTGCGATATTTCAAACTGTGACCATTTGATCGATTGGTAAAAAATCTTGGACTAGTTCAATTTGAAAAGTGTGATGTAGAAAGTATAGTTTAGGAACTGAAGGACCTTTTAATCAGCAAACAGTTAGGCTTGAAGAATTTGACTGTACTTGGTACTGATAATGCCTCTGTAATGGTTGGTATAAACAATGGCGTTTATGCCAAGTTGAAGGAAGCTAACCCATCGTTAATACTTATAAAATGTATGCGTCATTCATTGCAGCTAGCATTATCACATGCTTCATGTAAATATTTACCAAGGAATTTGGAATACCTTATTGCTTTACTGGTTTTCCAAATCATTTGTCAGACAACAGCAATACAATACATTATATACAGCCTTGAATGATGGTTCCACACCACCGAAAATTCTGTCAGATTGCAAAACTAGATGGTTATCAATTTAACCAGCTGTTGAAAGAATTATGAAGCAATGGCTGAAGTTGAAGACACACTTTGAAATAACAAGACAAAGTAAAAAGTGCTACACAGCTGAAATGCTATATAGAATGCACAGTGATGAAAACAAAATTGTCATTTATTCTCTTTTTATAACCTATTCTAATGGAAGTGCAAAAAGTTAATAAACTGTTCGAATGTAAACTTGTTGATAAAGTTAAATTACTTGATGATCTCACCTTGCTATTTCACTCGGTAAAAGACTGGTGTTGCCAACTTCTAAAGCTGATTTGCTCACTTGCACTATAGAGAGCTATTTGGCTCCTAAGCCACACCTTGGATATTAAATCGAATCAAAAGTTGATGATTTAAAAACAAAAGGACTGTTAACAGAGAATGAAGAGAACAACTTAAGAAAACGCTGTCAAGATTTCCTTATCTCATTATTGAAGCAATTGAAGCAGAGACTTCCTGAAAATCTAGATGTTTTGAAAAATATTTCACTTTTTTCTGTGAGCAACATACTTCAGCCAATAAAGGACATACCTATTGTAAACTTATGAAATTTTTAGGGTCTACTGATAATAGTATCGCGGAAGCAGAATATCAGTTAACCAAAATAAAGTTAGCTGAATGGACAAACAAAACAAAAACTAAAGCGTTTTGGAGTGAAATGAGACAGTTTATAAAGATGCTTCATCTCCATTCTGTAAGCTCTTTAAAGTGCCATGTCTGCCATGATACTACCCCACTCAAATGCTGACGTAGAAAGAGTTTTCAGTGCTAGGAATTATATCAAATCTAACCTAAAAAACAGGATGAAATTTGACCTCTTAAATGCTATCGTACCATTAAAATTCGGCCTGATGAGACTAGAGAAATAAGCCTACTGTTCCACTTATAAAGAAAGTTGAACAGCTAAAGCATACAAGGGTCATTTTGGATCTGAAGCTTCAACTTCATTATCCTGTGGATCTTGTGAGGCAGACATCAGTGAAGGTGAGGACATGATTATGTAGGGTAAGTCATAACAAAAGCTATGTAATTTTTGACTTTTTCAATTTGGATATTTTTTCTAGATCTTTTCCATGCAGATTTAGATCTTTTTAGATATTTTTTGACACCGTTTTGGATATTTTTTGTCAAAGAAAAGTGGCAACACTGGACATAACCCAATGTTTACTTCCTCTCTTTTGTAATGGCGGATTTGTTGTACAATTGTTTGGACTTTTTATTTCCTCCCCACCAGTTTTTGAAAGCATACTGCGAAGAAACACGTAATGCTGCTTTCCTAAATGGGATAGTTTGACTTTTTTAGCAGACGGTTCGGGTGAAGTATGGGAAACAGTAATAAGTCGTCATTAAGAAAAACTCAGTCGGTCCCTGATACTCAGGTGAGGAAATAAATATTGTACTTAAAATATAATTTAAATAACATTTTTATTTTTTAATTTGTTAGATATGTATGATAATGACAGTCGTAATTTAATTGTAGTGAAGCTTTTTCTCACACTGTGAGTGATTAAATTAATTCATATTTGATCAAGAGCTGGACCAGTATCTCAGTATCAGTAAACTTGAGGCTAGCCAAACATGATTTTCTTTAGTCTTTATGCAAGATTGAAGAGAAAGTTAGGCTCTCCTGTAAACTACGGCCGGTAGACAACAGTAGACGGCCGGTTAGTCGGAGTTCTGTCCCTTGGCTACAGTGCAATTACGGACTGGAGAAGGCACGAATCAGACCACAAAGTGAGGTCGACATGCCTAGCAGACCACGCCCTGCGACTCAAATTAGTGATCAATTACCGCTTCTTGCGACGCATTACAGAGTGAATTGGAGGGAACGATACAAGTGACAGAATTATGGTGTGTTCGTGACAGACAGCTTGCAGTGCCCTCCTGTCATCATACGCTTAGGGTTAGGGGTTAGGGGTAGGTTTAGGGTTAAGGTTTGGGTTGCTACTTTTTTGAGTTTGTGCAACAACGAGATGCGGCGACACTACCCGTAACCCTAACCCACACCCTAACCCAAACCGTAACCGTATGACTATAGCAGGGCAGTGCACGCTGTCTATCGCCAACAGTAATTGTGTCAATTGTTTCGTTCCCTCCTTTTCCATTCCGTACTTGCACTGTAGCCAAGGGACAGAACTCTGACTAACCGGCCGTCTACTGTTGTCTACCGGCCGTAGTTGACAGGAGAGCCGAAAGTTAATGTTGGCTTCTGATTGAAGATAATTGAGATTAAGATTTGTGTAGTACAGTGTACTACACCTACACGCTGTTTTCTCTTGTACTGTTATTTGTACTTTGTAGAGATAAAATGATAAAATGATTGGCCAGTATCGAGGGATATCAATCAAAAATCTACAAGGTGTCGACTAAATATTTGGAGAAATAACTAGGGCTCTGCTTCTCTGGTTGTATGCAGTCTAGTTACCAGAGAAAGTCAGTTGGGTTAAGAACCATTATCACACCACTCAGGACATTCATATAAGTGCTCCGTCCCCATCTTCAGCAGCCATGCAGAGTTCCAATCACGATGGTAGCAATAGCACTATCATGACTATGATTGTTTGTTTTGTCTCCCCGCTGCACCATTCTTTTCAGACTAGGTAGGATGATTTGTTGGTGCTTCTACACAGTTCACTCACTTGCTCTAGAATTACTTTGATCATGTCTAACTTGTCCGACATCAGTTTACTACCAAGGTGCAGAACCAGCCACTCTGTTTGCCTGTTCATTTCCCACAACAGCTAAATGATTTTGAGAGAAATATTCAAAGGACACTAACTACCCAGGATCTCTGAAGCGATGCTTGCCACTCTGCATGGATGATCTCTGTCTCCACCTTTCTCAGCATGCTTTTTGAGTCTGTTAAAATAGTGACATTTGTGTGTAGCTGTTCTCAAACCAGCAGAAGACTGCAGTGACTGCGCCTCCACCTCCATTCTCACATTTGATATCGTGGTGTCATACCGCAGGCTTCATTACACACTAAGGGTTATCTATTGACTCACCCTAAAGTAAGTACCATGAAGTCTTCTTTTTCTTCTTTACTTTCACTATCTGTAAACTCCAGTGGACATTTCTGGTTGTTCATCCACTTCTAGACTTTGGTCTTGTTCCAAAATTTGGGTTTTGCATGCGCATACATTTTACAGATCTGACTTATTTGTGCACTGTTGGTTCCTTGCCTCTCAGGCCTCCCATCGTCCCAGGAAACATCAATTCTGTCTTCTTTCTTCAGAGCCCTGGTTGAGAACCTAAATCCACGGGTATGTGTGGAGAGGTGGTTCAGAATCTCTGCATCACGGAAGTGTTCTGAGAAGTAAAGTCTTCCTGTGTTATATTGACTGCATCACCCATTGAGCGCTGGTTAGTCTGTACAACTGTGTGGCTAGCACAGATACCAGATACACATTTAATCATAGAAAAGGTTTGTGTCCTCATTCTTTTACATTATAAGAAGAGGAAAACTGGAACATATTGTGACAGCTGGAAAGATATAAATGAAAAACAATGGGTTCAAGTCTGTGCAAATGGGTCCACACAAAATGCAGTAAGAAATTGTGATGCAGGAGTGTACATAGAAATCCCAGATGGTACTAGGAATAAGTCCAGTGTGCCAGCCGGGAAGTACTGCCAAAATTATGATGCAGAAATACAGGCAATCAAGATAGCAACAGAGAAACTGCTTAATACCTACCTTGGTTCACAGTCTGTGGTAATGCTGACAGATGCAAAGTCCATACTTGAGGCACTCCAGTCTGGGAAACGATTAGAATTGTCAGCACTGCTGACATAACTTGGCTGTCAGAGTAGAGTCACAATGTAGTGAATACTGTCCCATTGTGAAGTGGCTGGACATAAGAGAGCTGATCAATTGGCAGGGGAAGGTGCAACAAAAGAGCTGCTGGATGTACCATAACCATGTGTACACAAAATTCCAGATAGGTTTATCAGCCGTGTGCACCTGTGGAAAAATGCCCTAGACAGCAGAACATGGTATTCCAGGACTGAACTGAACATAACACATTAAGACAAACCTTTTGGCCAAAAAATAAAATACTTTTCGTTTGGTTTTATATCTTTTTTTTTTTTTTTTTGCCAGAATCAACAACAGTGGAATGTTAACTCTTTAAACCACTGAATGAACTAAAAAAAAAAAAAACTATAAAATTTATACAAAAGACAAAATTGTTGATATAGACAACTTATTTGAGACGAAAGAGAAAAAAAAAGATAAAGGAGGAGAGATAAAGGAAGAGAACATGATACGATATTTGACAGCTTGTTGTCATTTTATGGAAAGGTGTCAAAACATGAATGAAACAAGCTTGGAGACACATGATCATCCTCTCTAGTAGGTGAGGCAGTTGATGAACTACAATCTTTCTTTATCCAGTTATGTCTATCAATATATGAATGGAACAGTCTTAGTACTGTCAGTATTAACTTGAAAGTTTATGATTTTCAGAGACTAGCCCCAGATGCTCCAGTATTCGACAAACAGAAATCAGTGAGCCAGCTGCGACTGAACCAGCCTCTTGAGAAACCTGGCAAACCTGGAAAAGCTGGAAAGAAGCACAAGCATCACACCAAAGAAGAAATTCCACAGCTGGCCCCATCAGATGCTGCCTTTCTGCCAGAATTCCCACTTCGAGGCGAGTTGGAGGATCTGGATTTTCATGTAAGTTTTAGTTATTGTGAGAAAAATTGACTGAATTCCAAGCCACTGTTCTTATTTACATAAAGATATTTTTCCTGTTTGTAAACAGCAGCAGTTCCTGTTTGATAAACAGCTGCTATTCCTGTTTGTAAACAGTCACTGTTCCTGTTTGTAAACAGCCGCTGTTCCTGTTTGTGTAGTCACAGTTCCTTTTTATACCGTGTGTCTGTAAAGTCATAGTGAACTTTTGACTGGTAACAGGAAATCAACAAAACAAGATAGAAATGTGAAATGTTCACTAAATGAAAGGAAAACTCTCCAGGTTTTGTGATTTTGTGTCGTCAGCTGTGTGCACACACACTTGCACATCATACTACAAAACTTCGAGAGTTTTCCTTCTATTTGGTGCAGATTTCACATTTCCATCTTCTTTTGTTGCTTTCCTGTGACCCGTCAAAAGTTTACCATGACTTTACGGACACAGTGTATTCTTCTGAAACTTTAGCTTCAGGTGAAGTTGTCAGTTTGGCGCACAGGAAGCGCAATTCAATCATTCAGTTTCTGTTAGGTATATAGGAAAGCGGTGGGGGAGCAGCTAGGCGCTCGCCTGTCGGTTAGATACTCACCTGCGGATCGGAAGGTCATGGGTTCGCTCCCTGGAGGAGCCGGACTTTTATAAAAAAAATAAGTGGGTGCTAAGTGCAGTCCCAAAAAGTAAAGGTGGCCAGCATGATGCTGACCACATCACCCATCTTGTGCCAATTGGTTTTTAAAATATAGGTCTAGCCCTATATACCCTATATGTCTAAAGGCGTGGAAAAGGGTCCTGCACTTTATAGGAAAGCACCGGGTAAAATTCACCATTGCCTGAAAAGTGTAGCCAAGTTAGCAGTGATCTTATCTCCTGAATTACTAAAGTTAAATGAAGTGCTAGGATTCATCATCATCATCAGAGAATAATGCTGTGTGTCATTGTGTCAGCAGTTGCTGTTGACTGACTGATCAGCTCCCTCCACCTTCAATGGTCAGATGCTGTGGATTTCTCAGTTTCATGCCTAAGGCCTGTACAGTCAGTCAAGTTCTGTAACCAGGTCTTTCTTGTTCTGCCTCTTATCCACTGTCGGCTCTGTGGCTAAGTCGATGCGAACGCTTCGTAATGCCGGGATGCCGGGTTCGATACCAGCTGCGGGCTATGCGCCTTGTGTTGGTTTCGACAGTGGTGTCAAGAAAGCTAACCGCCCAGAAAGCAATGGCAAACTACTAGATGTAATTTGCCTAGAGAAACCACACAACAGCCAGGGGCTGTTAGGGTTGGTTCTGCAACGTCCTGTAAAGAATACGCAACTAACCATAACCTCTTATCCACTACTGAGCTGTAGTATTGTTTTTGAGAGGCCAATCGATCTTTACATCTTTAGTCTTTTCTATAGAAGAGGTTTATAATTGCCAGTCTGTTATGTAATCTTTTGGAGAGCAAGTTTGTTTGTAATGTGGTCTCCGTATATGCCAAGAATTTTTTGAAAAGCTCTTATTTCCATTGCTTTCACCTTCTTGTCGAGATCTTTGCTAAGATCTACATTTCCTAGGCGCAGCATCCGTGGCTAGGGCATTGCGAGTCTGACTCGTAATCCAACGTGCCGCGATCGAAACCCACTGCGGGCTGCGTGGATTGTTTTCGTGGTATGGGACGTCGCGGTCGACCCAGCCTCAAATGGGTACCAGGATGGGCTGTCCTGGGGAAGTAGAGACGGCCGGCGTAATGCTGATCACATTACCCACCGAGTGCCGATTGGTCTGTAAAAATATGGGACGCTCTGCCCATATGCCCGATGCTCTGAAAGGCACGAAAAGGGATCTTTACTTTACTTTTTTACATTTCCTAGCAATTCACAGCGTGCACAAATCTCTGTTGCAGGTTCTGGGTGTGATAGCCCGGGGTGCCTATGGGAATGTTATCAAAGTTCAAAGAGAAGATGAGAAAAAGTTCTATGCTGTGAAAGTCTTAGACAAGGCTCAGATAATCCAGGAAGGAGCCATAAGGCAGTGTAAAGATGAAGCTACAATACAGGTACCAGATGGCCCTTTTATTTGTTTTTAAACTTACAGTTTATGCCTTATGTTGTTTGTCATTGTTGTCCACAGCCTTCTGTCTTGAGTGTTTTCAGTCTTATGACAGGCCATCATGTCCCATACTCAGCCTTTTTCCTTGTGTAGTTCTAATCTCCTAGTAAACACCTCCTTATGGGGTCGTTTCATTTCCACAGCCTTCTTTCTCAAGTATTGCCAGTCTGAAAATAAAAGCTTTGTAACATTCGTCACCATTTCTGTTCATATATTGTGTCCCATGTAATTGTCTGTCTTGTAGTCTCTGCCTTGTAACATCAACACAAGATTGTGTCCCTTGAATTGCCAGGCTTATAGTCTCTGCCTTGTCACATTGGTCACCATGGTTGTGCAAACTTGTATCCCATGTATTGTCAGTCTTATAATCTCTACTTTGTAACATTGGTCACCATGGTTGTGCAAGCCCGTGTCCCATGTATTGTAAGTCTTATAATCTCTACTTTGTAACATTGATTACCATGGTTGAGTCTTATAATCTCTACTTTGTAACATTGATTACCATGGTTGTGCAAGCCTGTGTCCCTTGTATTGTTAGTCTTATAATCTCTACTTTGTAACATTAGTCATCATGGTTGTGCAAGCCTGTGTCCCATGTATTGTTAGTCTTATAATCTCTACTTTGTAACATTAGTCACTATGGTTGTGCAAGCCTGTGTCCCATGTATTGCCAGGCTTATAATCTCTACTTTGTAACATTGGTCACCATGGTTATGCAAGCCTGTTTCCCATGTATTGTAAGTCTTATAATCTCTACTTTGTAACATTGGTCACCATAGTTGTGCAAACTTGTATCCCATATATTGCTAGTCTTATATTCTCTACTTTGTAACATTGGTCACCATGGTTGTGCAAGCCTGTGTCCCATGTATTGCCAGGCTTATAATCTCTACTTTGTAACATTGGTCACCATGGTTGTGCAAGCCTGTGTCCCATATATTGCTAGGCTTATAATCTCTACTTTGTAACATTGGTCACCATGGTTGTGCAAGCCTGTGTCCCATGTATTGCCAGGCTTATAATCTCTACTTTGTAACATTGGTCACCATGGTTGTGCAAGCCTGTGTCCCATGTATTGCCAGTCTTATAATCTCTACTTTGTAACATTGATTACCATGGTTGTGCAAGCCTCTGTCCCTTATATTGTCAGTCTTATAGTCTTTACCTTGTAACATTTGTCACCATGTCTGTGCACAACCTTGCCTTGCATGTGGTCAGTCGTTTCAATTACAAATGTTCCTCTCTACTGTGATACCAAATTCATAGCAATCTCTCTCCCTTGGTCTGATCCTGCCCAATTCCCTTCCTTGTCTCTTGTTGCTGTGACGTACTCCAGTTTTTCCCTTCCATGTCTCCTGTTGCTGTGACTTACTCCAGTTTTTCCCTTCCACGTTTTCCGTTGCTGTGACTTACTCCAGTTTTTCCCTTCCTTGTCTCCTGTAGCTGTGACTTACTCCAGTTTTTCCCTCCCATGTCTCCTGTTGCTGTGACACTCCAGTTTTTCCCTTCCATGTCTCCTGTTGCTGTGACACTCCAGTTTGTCCCTCCCATAGGGTGCCCAAGAAATATGAATGGTTTCCTCTGGCAAACATGTCTGCTTGTTTATCTACGTCTGGGCTTTAGTCTTTTTCCATAACCTGCGTTTTGTATGCACATCCATTTTACAGGTCTGGCATATTTGTATGCACACTGTTGGTTCCTTGCCTGTCACACAAATGCTCTATGGCTGTGAAGGAAACATCCCCAGTTGAACAAGTGTTCTGATATGCTTGTTAGTAGCAGTGGATCTACTCTAGATTTCCCGCACAGAAGGGCCCTAAGTCAGTTCTGGGAGAATCCATTTTGACTGGGGATTCAAACAGATCACCACTGGGCTGACAGGCAAGCATACTGATCACTGTATGAATGAAGCTCTTGAGTGCAGGGAAATCACATCTTCATTCAGTCATCAGTTCTGAACAGATACTATTTGTACCTAGCAGTTGTTAACAGAGAGTGTTTGTTCACACTTTCAGTCAATGGCTGGAGAACACTTGTTTGTTGTCAAAGCCCATGAGTACTGGCAGTCAAGTGGGAACTTGTTCATAGGTTTGTATCTGATCATTTTTTGGACAGTATTAACATTTACTCTCTTTGACAGTTAGAAATAGAGAACTGAAATGTTATCTTTTTCTTGTTCATAAAGGTAAAGGTAAAGTCATAAGATGTGAACCAGCATCATTGTACACGGTTATAAACCATAAGTCGCATAAGTCGTCTTTCTGCGGCTGAAGCTCTGAAATTGTTTCGGTCATATGTAATTTGGAAGGCGATTCTGTCGATCTGTCTAAAGCGGGACTGCCGATGTGAGATGTGTAGTGCACCCACTAAACCCGAGAGGACCCATTTCATGAAGGAGACAACAGTCAACCACATTTGCACCCTAAAAGAATTGTTTCACCCAGTACCGAACTATGGCTAAGTTGAAATCATTGCAGCTACCTGCTGTATATAACTGTACAAAGTAAATATAGGTCCAACTTTCTGCCATTTGTTTCTTTCAAATTAAGTTCAGCACCCTATAAAAACCGAAAGCTTCAGACTGATAAACTAACACAGAAACAAACAAACTTTTGAATTTGTTAGGTAATTCAACAAACTTTATAAGTGTTATTCTCAAATTTTTGTGGTTGATAAACTATGAAAAGTGAAGAATTGTGCTGCAAACTTTTGTCTTTGTAAATATAACACCTGCTGACTTCTTTTATTCTTCTAACTATAACAACATAAAACACTGAGAAATTTTTCAATTTCAGAATGTACATTCATTCCTCTTTTTTTTTAATTTTCTCTCTCTCTCTCTCTCTCTCTCTCTCTCTCTATATATATATATATATATATATATATATATATATATATATATATATATATATATATATATATATATATATATATATATATATATATATATATATATATATATACATACAGACTGAAGCCTGGACAATTAATAAACAAGCTGAACAATTCCTTGAGGCCTCAGTGATGTAGTTTTACAGAAGAATCCTTAGATTTCCTTGGACAGCTAAGAAGAGCATGTCAGATGTTTTGAAAGAGGTGAATACTCGAAGACAGCTTATCACAAACACCATAGAAAGAGACATTCATAATTTTTTTGGCCATCTTATGAGAAGAGGGAAAATGGAACAGGTGAGCACCAGAAAGATCTGGGAAAGAAGAGACAGAGGAAGACAGCATAAAAAGATTCTTGACGGTCTTGTGTCAATGCATGGAGGGGTGTCAACACACAAACTGTTACACGCAGTTGCAGATCGCAGATTGTGGAGAGGCATGATATCTAAGGCACTCGATGATGATGATAATTGTGTAGGATTATAAATATATTACATTTTCTAATTTACTTTCTCGTAATTAAAGTTAATTTAATGCACACACACACATACACACACAAAGAAAGAAAGAAAATTAAAAATATCCAGAAAAGTGCAGTGACAGTGTTCACAGAGCACAAACCTGAGTACAACTGATGTGAGCCAAAAACATGGCCCCCAAAGCCAGTTTGTGTGTTGATGTGCTGAGGCATTGTTCGCAGGTGGAGTCAATATTTGTTAGGAAATTTATGTCGTGACTAGAGGTGCTGGTGACCCGAGATACCACTGTAAGTTTCAAATTGATTATTTAGGGATTCATAAATGGTTCATGACCAGCAACTGAATAGTCTGGTAGTCTTAGTTTCAGCTTCATAGCAAACGGGTCACCCCATCTTTGCTCCGCTCCTGTGCCAACGAAAAACACACAGAATGTTTATCACAGTATTAGAATTGCAGTTCATCATTGATGGTAGCAGAAGTCGCCAAGAGACCAGCAGTTGCCCACGCTGGAATGTATGATTCTGTCAAGTGCATGATATTTCTCAGATATCTCAACACAACAGTGTAGTTTCCAATGGGTGTGATGTTTAATGTCTCTACAGTGTTGGACTATGTTCCTTATGGAGATATGTTCACTCTGTGGACCTTCCATGGTGCCTTCCCAGAAAAACTTGTCCAGGTCTACATTGCTGAGATGGCCATGGTAATAGGTACGCTGAACATGTAACATACTCTAATATATCTTTTTTGGGCCCCCTGCATTCTGTCTGTCTGTCTCTCTCTCTCTCTCTCTCTCTCTCTCTCTCTCTCTCTCTCTCTCTCTCTCTCTCTCTCTCTCTCTCTCTCTCTCTCTCTCTCTCTCTCTTTCTCTCTGTCTCTGTCTCTCTCCTTGTGTCTCTCTATCTGTGTGTGTGTGTGTGTCTCTCTGTCTGTCTCTCTGTCTCTATCTGTGTGTGTGTCTCTCTCTGTCTCTCTCTCTCTCTCCTTCTGTCTCTCTCTATCTGTGTCTGTGTCTCTCTCTGTCTGTGCATCTCTCTCTCTATCTGTGTGTGTGTGTGTCTGTCTGTCTCTCTGTCTGTCTGTCTCTCTCTCTCTTCTCTCTCTCCAGCTTTCTCTATATTGCCTCTTGGTTTTCGCTTTTCCTGCTTTCTTTCCCGCTGGTGTTTTTTTTTATCTTTCTCTCCATCCCATTTTTTCTTATCTTTATAACCTTTCCATCTCTTCTTATTTTTTCTCCCTTCCCATCTATCCACATCTTCCTTATCATTTTGCATCTTTCTCCTTTCCATTTTTTTTAAAAACATTTATCTATCTATCTTCATGCTTTTTCTACTATTTTTTCTCTTTTTTAATTCCCTTCTTTCTCTTGATCTTCTTGTTTCTTTCCCTGTGTTTTCTTTTGAAAATGCTCCATTTCCAGATGATTAATTATCTTCACTTACATTCTGCTTGCCTTTTTCTGTGTCGCCCGTTTCCAGCTTCCCCTTTTTTTCTATCCACTTTCAATTTACGTTTAAACATTTTTTAAATATACTTGTTTGTAGATTGCTTAGTTTTGTTAGCCAACCTTTTTTCTCATTGCCACATACTTGACAGGAGTCTTGTCATATCTCTCTCTCTCTCTCTCTCTCTCTCTAGAGCATACACAAAGAGACTACATGTGAACTCATCACTCCCTGTGTATACCCATAAATATAGTCATCATCATCATCATCATATGCCCTGCCAACTGGCATAGGTGCTCATGCGTCTCCAAAGACCACAATCCCTGGTTGACTGGAACAGCTCTCTTGATGATATCCTTCCATGCCATCGCTTTAGCCCATCCAGCGCCATCTCTCCTGGTCTGCCTCTACCCCTTTTTTCCTCTGATCTTTCCAGTTGTGACGATGTTCTTCAGTGTCTCTCTTCCCATTATGTGGCCAAAGAACAGTGATGCATACAATAGGCATACTTTTTTTTGTATTCTTTGGGAAAAACCTAAACGAGACAGTACAATATCATTGCACCTTAAGATGAAAACAGACCGGCTGACAATTTGACTCTCATGCTTGATATTCATAACATTATTAATACACTTCAGATAATTGGATAGTTTATCCATATGTTGCAGAGGCCCATAAAGAAAGGAAAGAATAGTAATGCTATTTTACTACGTATGATTTTAGACATGATTAAGAAAAGTTGGAAGGAGACTGGCAGCCTCATCCTGTGGAAAATGTCACCTGCAAATTCCAACCAATCCTGAAACATGTGCAGAGTGCTTGGCCTGGGATAGGTAGAGGCTCATGTATTGTTGAAGAGATGAAAGGCAAACAAAGAAGAATTTGATCGTTTGAATAGAAAAGTAGACAGGTCTAAACTTTGACATTGTTTCCTCTTCCAGATTTCCTTCACAATGCCAGTGTGATTTACAGAGATGTCAAGGTAAGAAACTTAATGGATGTAGATTCTTTTCTTGTGCTGTCTATCCCCAGTGGAGCATAGGCCTTCGACCAACTTATGCCATGTTGTTGCAGGAGTGGAGTTATAAAAACAAAACAGAAAGGTTAACTGCGTGTCCTTTTCAAGATTTTGCAGAACCAACACCAGAATATTAGTGTGTGGTTGTTTGTGATGTCATTAGGCAATTTACACTCAGTAGTTTTGCTGTTGTTTTCTGAATGGCCAGCTCTCAGTACCACTGTTGAAACCAGTCTGCTGCCTGCAGCTGGGATCCAACCTGGCAGCTTGGAATTATGAAGTGCGTATGCAACCCTGACTAATTAACATATCGACTGATTAACAAACCGTTGTGAAATTCTTAGTGGATTCATAGGAACCCTGATAGCCCAGTGGCTAGCATATGTGCTGTTGACATAGGAACCGTGATAGCCCAGTGGCTAGCATATGTGCTGTTGACATAGGAACCGTGATAGCCCACTGGCTAGCATATGTGCTGTTGACATAGGAACCGTGATAGCCCACTGGTTAGCATATGTGCTGTTGACGTGGGAGCAATGATAGCCCAGTGGCTAGCATATGTGCTGTTGACATGGGAGCAATGATAGCCCAGTGGCTAGCATATGTGCTGTTGACATAAGAGCCATGTTAGCCCACTGGCTAGCATATGTGCTGTTGACATAGGAGCCATGATAGTCCAGTGGCTAGCATGTGTGCTGCTGACATGGTACTCGTGATAGCCGGTGGCTAGCATATGTGCTGTTGACACGGTAGCCATGTGTTCATATTTGCAACAAGGCTGTTTTTTGTAAACATCCCACATTGACCGAAACCAAAAAGTTGGTACCAAGAAATGTCCTGCTACGAGGTCAAGATGGGGGAATTATAACCAGCTTCTCGTAGGAACATTCAGTAGAGAGCTGCATTAGAGGGCTAAGCATGTATTGGAATTTCCTATGTACAGTTAAATTGATTGTGATAATAAAACATAACATTTGGTTAGGATTGCTACAGTCATTTGTTTCCTCATGTGTTAATTGTAGTCATGCTTCCCTACATGGGGGCTGGGGCACCCATTGTGGGCGAGGGGAGTTGTCCTTTTAAAGGTGAACACAGAGAAAAATATGTGCTAAACCTTTAGCTCTAGGCTGGGTTATTTTCTTGTTGTCCATTGACTATACAGATGGAGAAAATTCTGTTATTTTCTTGTTGTCCATTGACTATACAGATGGAGAAAATTCTGTTATTTTTTTGTTGTCCATTGACTATACAGATGGAGAAAATTCTGTTATTTTCTTGTTGTCCATTGACTGTACAGATGGAGAAAATTCTGTTATTTTCTTGTTGTCCATTGACTATACAGATGGAGAAAATTCTGTTATTTTCTTGTTGTCCATTGACTGTACAGATGGAGAACATTCTGTTATTTTCTTGTTGTCCATTGACTGTACAGATGGAGAACATTCTGTTATTTTCTTGTTGTCCATTGACTGTACAGATGGAGAACATTCTGTTATTTTCTTGTTGTCCATTGACTGTACAGATGGAGAACATTCTGTTATTTTCTTGTTGTCCATTGACTTGACTGTACAGATGGAGAACATTCTGTTATTTTCTTGTTGTCCATTGACTGTACAGATGGAGAACATTCTGTTATTTTCTTGTTGTCCATTGACTGTACAGATGGAGAACATTCTGTTATTTTCTTGTTGACCATTGACTATACAGATGGAGAACATTCTGTTATTTTCTTGTTGTCCATTGACTATACAGATGGAGAACATTCTGTTATTTTCTTGTTGTCCATTGACTGTACAGATGGAGAACATTCTGTTATTTTCTTGTTGTCCATTGACTTTACAGATGGAGAACATTCTGTTATTTTCTTGTTGTCCATTGACTATACAGATGGAGAACATTCTGTTATTTTCTTGTTGTCCATTGACTGTACAGATGGAGAACATTCTGTTATTTTCTTGTTGTCCATTGACTGTACAGATGGAGAACATTCTGTTATTTTCTTGTTGTCCATTGACTGTACAGATGGAGAATATTCTGTTATTTTCTTGTTGTCCATTGACTGTACAGATGGAGAACATTCTGTTATTTTCTTGTTGTCCATTGACTGTACAGATGGAGAACATTCTGTTATTTTCTTGTTGTCCATTGACTGTACAGATGGAGAACATTCTGTTATTTTCTTGTTGTCCATTGACTATACAGATGGAGAATATTCTGTTATTTTCTTGTTGTCCATTGACTATACAGATGGAGAACATTCTGTTATTTTCTTGTTGTCCATTGACTGTACAGATGGAGAACATTCTGTTATTTTCTTGTTGACCATTGACTGTACAGATGGAGAACATTCTGTTATTTTCTTGTTGACCATTGACTATACAGATGGAGAACATTCTGTTATTTTCTTGTTGTCCATTGACTGTACAGATGTAGAACATTCTGTTATTTTCTTGTTGTCCATTGACTGTACAGATGGAGAACATTCTGTTATTTTCTTGTTGTCCATTGACTATACAGATGGAGAACATTCTGTTATTTTCTTGTTGTCCATTGACTATACAGATGGAGAACATTCTGTTATTTTCTTGTTGTCCATTGACTGTACAGATGGAGAACATTCTGTTATTTTCTTGTTGTCCATTGACTATACAGATGGAGAACATTCTGTTATTTTCTTGTTGTCCATTGACTATACAGATGGAGAACATTCTGTTCAATGCCAAAGGTCACATTCAGCTGACAGATTTCGGGCTGGCCAAGTGGCTGCAGGGAGGCGATGTAACCCGGACTGTCTGTGGGACATTACAGTACATGGGTGAGTAGTCAGATATCTTTTTTTCTGCGTTTTTCCTCATTGGACCCTAAGTTCCTAACAGACTCGCATCAGGTATTATATTCTTTGCTCCCCGTATGGGTTCGGTGGCATTTTCAAGTTAAACAAACTCCACTAACACTTATCAAGCATGTCATAAAAGGGGACAGATTGGTGGTTTGCTGAAATTGGATGTGTTAGGTCGAAAGGTGCAGATATTGCTGCCTAGCTGTAAACCACAACACAACCTGCCAACTGCTCTTCAGAGGGTGAATGAAGAAGATATTATGTGCTATCTCTTGCAGTTCTGTCCCTGTCCTTTTACTATAACTCATCTCCAAGGGTTTTAGATATCCCTCTGTGTCCTTTGCCTTGGGACATTCTAGTTATAGTTTGTTATTATGCTCATTCAGCATCGGCTTGCCATCACTTGTTGAGGCTCTGAACTATCACATTAGAGATTATGTCATACAGTTTTATTTATTCTTTTCTGTTCAGGCACTGCTTAACGAATGTTTGGAGTTGTTTTAGTTATGCTCCTTGCTTCTGCTCCATACTGATTTTATGTTGGTTTAAATATTCTCAGTCTGGTTATAGGTTTAATTTCCTTTGACATCAGATTATGTTTGGGCATAATCTTACTTTGGTTTTGATTGAGAAAGTGACCAAAAGATGAGATTGCCAAGACACTATAGTATTTAAGTTTATTAAGAGGCAATCACTGTTTTAATTGAGAAAGAGCTATGGGGAGATAGATAGGTCATGTTTCAATTGAGAAAGCAGTAGAGACGTAGGCATCAAATGTTTTAATTGAGAAACGCTTCAGAGAGATAGGTGGGCAATGTGTATTTGAGAGAGAGATAGGTGGGCAATGTGTATTTGAGAGAGAGATAGGTGGACAATGTGTATTTGAGAGAGAGATAGGTGGACAATGTGTATTTGAGAGAGAGATAGGTGGGCAATGTGTATTTGAGAGAGAGATGATAAGTGCTTCAATTGAGAAAGAGCTAAAGAGAGATAGGCATGAAATACTTTAAATGAGAAAGAGCGGTGAAGAGATAGGTGGGAAATGTTTTCATTAAGAAAGATCTTTAGAGAGATAGGTGGCAAATATTTTCAATTGAGAAAGAGCTATGGAGAGATAGATGGGTAATGTTTTATTTGAGAAAGAGCTGTAAAGAGACGCTAAATGCTTTCATTGAGAAAGAGCTGTAAAGAGATAGACGGTAAATGCTTTCATTGAGAAAGAGCTGTAAAGAGATAGACGGTAAATGCTTTCATTGAGAAAGAGCTGTAAAGAGATAGACGGTAAATGCTTTCATTGAGAAAGAGCTGTAAAGAGATAGACGGTAAATGCTTTCATTGAGAAAGAGCTGTAAAAAGATAGACGGTAAATGTTTTCATTGAGAAAGAGCTGTAAAGAAAAAGACGGTAAATGTTTTCATTGAGAATGAGCTGTAAAGAGATAGATGGTAAATGTTTTCATTGAGAAAGAGCTGTAAAGAGATAGACGGTAAATGTTTTCATTGAGAAAGAGCTGTAAAGAAATAAATGGGAAATGTATTCATTTAAAAAAAAGCTGGGGTGGGTTATAATATTTTAATTGAGGAAGAACTAGAATGAGAGGTGAGAAATTACAGTACTTGGGTTGACTGCGAGATAGAAATTTAAAAATGTTGTAATGGAGAAAGAGAGAGAGCACCAGCATCCTGTCTTCATCTCTTGATGAAATTAAAAATGTAATTATTCAGAAGTCACACAATGCTGCCACTCTTTAGTAATCACCACTGTCTTGACAAGTCAGACATTAACTATTATACTAATAAGGACACATATATTAACTCTTTCGTGCCTAGAATATCTGACCTCCTACCCAAGTGGCAAGAAACCATTAACTCCTTCAGGACAACATTGTTTTCTGGGGTTTGGACAGCATTAATTTTGAGCGGAATTTTGTTTACTGCAATATAGCAAAGCTAAAACCTTCCTGAAAAAAAAAAGTATTAGCTGTATTGGGACATATGATATATCAAATTAAAGATAAATGAGTGCAGAATAAATCTAAACTATTTAAGTGTCAGTACTATGAATACACAAATTATTAAAATCACACAACATTCAAGGATGTCAGACGCATCTGATTATTACTGACATAATAAATTGTGTGCTTACCTTACTTTTTTACTTGTTCAGCAACACTGCTATCTTATTCTAAGAATGCACATGCCTTCTCTGTTTCAATTATGTATCAGGTAGTCTTTATTTGAAACAATTAATTTAAATACTTTGGATGTTACGATCATTTTTGTATGACATGTCAAATTTCACAACAACCCAAAAACGGGAAAACAGCTGATCGAAACATTGATCCGATTGAAAAATTTTGTTTAATTTTCATATCCTAAACTAATTTTTGCCAATAGGTTTGTCACTTAGATATCAATCATAATATCAAGACTGTTGTCACCATCTGGCAGTGACCTATCAATGATGGAGCAGTATGACAGTTGTAGACCTTTTCCCTTATCATTTGTTATTGAAAAATCACTTAAAAATTGTATGGCATCTAAATAAATTTTTTTTAAATCAGAAAATAATGCACCGACCACGATGAACTTTGCACAAAAAAAAGGACTTTCTGTTGTTAATCCTAATTGTTCAAAAACTTGTTCAAAAAAGTTTGTTTTCCCCAAAAACAGAACAAAATTAGAGTGTCTTTATCATACGGCAGTATACTGGCGATACGTCCACAAGGGAAAAATTTATTCGCCTGTATACTGGTGATACCTCTTTAAAGAGTTACGGAAAAAACCATGAATACATTATCTACAAAGAGACTAAGTGAAACAAAATCTACAGGACTTTAGAGAAACCAGATTTCTTAACCCTGCTCTGAGCAGATGCAAAATTAACAGCATATATGGTGTAAACATGGTGGGATTTGCTGTGAACATTATACATCACATGTTGTTTGGGACTGAAAGAGTAAAGGCATTTTTACATTCAATAATTTGCCATTGCTTTCTGAATGGTGCGGAGCTCATACTATGGTCAAAATAAACAAATTGGTCTGCTGCTGGTTGAATTTGGATATTAGAATTATGAATCTGTGTTCATAACCTCTGGAACAAAAAATGGCAGTTTGTAAGTCAAGGGTTGTGGACTGACATGATCACTACCACATAAAACAGGCTGCAGTGACCTACAATACTGGATATTTTCAGTGACCATTTCTCGTTTCATAGTGGCATCCGTGGCTTAGGCGTTGCGAGTCTGACTCGTAATTCCAACGTGCCGCGATCGAAACCCACTGATGGCTGTGTGGATTGTTATCATGGTATGGGGTGTCGCAGGTCGACCCAGCCTAAAATGGGTACCAGGATGGCTGTTCTTGGAAGTAAAGACGGCCGGCCTTACCCATCTAGTGCCGACGGTCTGTAAAAATATGGGCACACTTCCCATATGCCCGATATGCCTAAAGCTTAACAACATATGTCTATTGTGATGAGGCGAGTAGTTCTGAATGCTGTAAGACTGCAAGAGAATCACTATCATTTCACTAATGGGCAGACAATTTCTAGCACATCTCTCATTGAAGAGTTCTCAAGTCAACCAATCTTTACTATTTTTTTACTTTTGTATTTATCTTTTTCATTTGTGCAGCTCCAGAGGTCCTCTCTGTGTATCCGTATGGACATTCAGCAGACTGGTGGTCACTGGGCATTCTCATGTATGCCATGCTGGCTGGCAGGGTCTGTTTGATTTTTTTTTTTTTTTAAATAGTTAAGCCATGTATTCTCCGTTTGTCTCATGAAATATTGTTTAATTCTTTCATAGTTTAGCCATGAATTTTCTGTTTGTCTCATGAAATGTTTTTTTTTTAAAAATACTTTAGCCATGTATTTTTTGTTTGTCTAACAAAATACTGTTTAGTTTATAATAGTTTAGCCATGCATTTTCTGTTTTTTTTTTTTCTATTGAAATATTATTTTCGTTTGACAGATTTGTCCTGACTGCACAACAGAATACTTGGATGCCCTCTTCACTATATCCTTCTCTGTGTAGCATCTTGAGACACCAGTTTCGTGTTCACTACTCTTCTGTATAGAATTTGTGTCTGGTTTTTGATGAGATATTGAAGCAAACTCTGACAGATATTGTACTTCTCGTATTGTATTTATTTTATATTGGGTCGGACCCATTCAGGCACAGACTCGTAGAAAGGCTATGTTTTTGCAACATCATATTTTTGTTTTCTTTTGTGGTTTATCTCTGGCTGTTCAAATACACAAATAATAGGTGCATTAATGCCACTCAGTCAGGCTTAGGATTGTTCAAGAGGATCCACAGTGAGTAAATCATTTGATGATGTCACTGAAGATGTTATGAGGTAATTTCGTCACTGTTGAAAAACAACAGCTGACTCCAAGTATAATTGAGAACTTTTCAATGAGGTATGTGCGAGAAATTGTCTACCATCATTAGTGAAATGATAGTGATTCTCTTGCAGTCTTACAGCATTCAAAACTACTCGCCTCATGACAATAGACATCATATTTGGTTCTTTGTTATGCCAGATTTTTTTTACTAATGGTGTGTTCACCACATTATATTGATGTTCCACCTACGTTACTTTACTGTCTTTGAACTTACATTGGAGCATCAGCCTTCAACCAAGCCCTTTGTATACTTGCTCATAATTGATTAGATTTTGCAGCTAAAGTTACCATCAGGGTTAGTCAGCCTGTTTCATATCAGCCCTCCTTAGTCATTTCCTAATCTTATGCTTGCATAGTAAGTTACATTGTTACTACTCTCTGCTTCTCTTGTAGGCCTCAGTTATTATCATCATGTAGCAGGTCCTTTGCAGAACGTCGCTCTCATCAAGGTCTGCCTGAAAGAAACTCATTCTTTTGCCAGCTCTCCCGCCTCATGTACTTTCATACTCAAGGAGTCACTTATATCATGTGCCCATCTTCGTGTCGGTCGGCCCCTGCCCCTCCTTCCTGGTACCATGCCTTCTGCTATAATTATTTTCCAATCCGTCGTGGCGCTTGATATGACCAAAATATTTCAGCTTCGGAGACAGAATGCTGTTTATTAGCCAATTTTCCTTGATGTTCAGATCTTTCAAGGTCAGAATTTCTCCTCTTCTTTGTCAAAGATATTCAAAGAATCTTTCTATAGCATTTCAGCTCAAAAGCCCCTATTCTCTCAGGCCTCAGTAGCATGGCTAATTTGTATACTAAGGTAAAGATAGTCCCATCTCTATTATTACAGTTGGAGATTGAAATGTTGGCCTTTCATATCGACTAGACCACATACAGCATCAGCTGGCCAGTTCTCTTTCTCATTGACTACCTTCTCAGAAAATCAACAGACCTTTTGGAAGATTGCTTGGTAGCCATGTTTTACAAGAATAGGCTGATCTCACAGCCACACTGGTCAAACCAATCATTCTACCTCTGCTAGAGACTGGACAGGCATGGTAAGCACACCAACTACTGCGCCGCCCCATTCTAAACAGCTGTTATTGTTGACTTGACTGTATTTGTTAAAATAGATTGTTCAGATGGAACCTTGTATGGTTCAGTGGACAAGAGGGCGATTACCAGCAGGCTGTGCGGAAAGCTTCGAGCAAGGCAGGGCGCTTAAGACGCTTTGGTCATCCACTGCACCTCGGTCCGCTTCCAATCGTCTCGACATTGTCCTGCCATTGGATCAAGTTGGACACAGGCGAGAGAGTGAGGTCGACGAATTGCGCAACTCTTCCTCACTTAAATCCAAGTCCTTGTGCAAGTCACTTTCATCCAATTTATCACGGCTTTGGATGACAAGTGGTCTTCATCCCTCGTGATGAACAACAGAACAATAACAAACATATGTTAGTTATGTTTACCTCAGATTTGACATTTTTTTTTATGTTTACAGTATCCGGTTGACGGGGCAGATACTCATACCAAGATGGCACAAAAAGTGTTTGAGAGTGACTTTTTTCTACCCAGCACAATCAGTGATTCCGCTCAAGATGTTATCAACAAAGTGAGTGTGCCAGAGTCGGTAGCATCAGTACTTTTTATCTAAAATCCCTTTTCTTCTCGACGTATATTTTTATAGACCAATCGGCACAAGATGAGGGGTGTGGTCAGCATCACGCCGGCCGCCTTTACTTTCCTGGGACTGCACCCAATACCCACTCAAGGCTGGGTCTACCTGGGAGCCACGGTCATTTATTTAAAAAGTCAGGCTCCGCCAGGGAGCGAACCCACGACCTTCTGATCCGCGGCGAGAGTCTAGCCGCTCGGCCACGGCGACTCCCCTTATTCTGGAAGTGTTTACTTAAAAGATGTGCATATTTTACAAACATTGACAGGCTACAGAGGACACCAAGCTGGAGGGAAACACAAATGACTTTCAGCAAATGTGTCAATTTTTTTATTTATAGTTCTCACCTTCCATCATGTAGCAGGTCCTTTGCAGGAACGTCGCTCTCATCACAGTCTGCCTGAAAGAAACTCAGTCTCTCGCCAGCTCTCCCGCCTCGTGCACTTTCACACTCAAGGAGTCACTTATATCCTGTGCCCATCTTCGTTCTCACAGCTTTCATTAATCATTAATGATATCTTTTGTTTTGCTTACTTTCCTGTCCTTCATCATCCATTGAGGCATAAACACTCAGCCAGCACCTGCTGAGTCAGAACACCAACATGTTATACTATTTCCTTTAGCTGACTTCCGAGAGACATAGATGTTCATATCTCAACAAAAATATCAATTTTTCCTTGGGGTTCTGGGCCAGTTTTGTTATTTCCTTCTTGCTGTTATCTTAGACCATTTAGCATCATTACTTTCTCTGTTTGTGCTTCTTCTACCATTGATCTTCCCAGTTGTCACAATATTTTATGATGCCTATCTTCTCATTCTATGATCAAAGAACACTGCTTTTTTTTCTTGCATATTATGTTTTGCCGTCCTCTTGCAGGCAAGTGTTGTCTGTGTTCCTCTAGATGTTCGCAACATCTGATTCACAAACTACATCTCTGCTGCTTCCATACTCTTCCCAGTGTAAAAATATAATGACTACATATTTTACTGCCAGATACCTGAGGGCAGGTAATATGTGGGACATAATGCTGTGTAATTCAAAAAAGGCTCATGGTTTTGATTAGTTCAGCTCTCAGTATGCCCATGTTTGTTTCACCCAATTCTCAACATTTAAATCAACTCTCGTCTCTGTGTATCATCATACAGCAGATATCATAGTGTAGCCTATGCATTAACTCTTTGAGTCCTAAGGAACGCATCATACGCTCAAAGGTTCCAACCTAGAAGCCCAATGAACGCATGATGCACCGATTTTATTATTCTCATTACTACCCGCTGGGCCAGTGATGCTAAACCCCCTGGGGACTCAAAGAGTTAGAAATTACTGGCCTGTTTAAAAAACAATTGTTTTGCCGTTACTGTTTGTAAAGTAAACTGGAATTTGATGTTACTTGTAAAGTAAACTGGAATTTGATATTACTTGTAAAGTAAACTGGAATTTGATGGTACTTGTAAAGCAAACTGGAATTTGATGTTACTTGTAAAGTAAACTGGAATTTGATGGTACTTGTAAAGTAAACTGGAATTTGATGTTACTTGTAAATTAAACTGGAATTTGATGTTACTTGTAAAGTAAACTGGAATTTGATGTTACTTGTAAAGTAAACTGGAATTTGATGTTACTTGTAAAGTAAACTGGAATTTGATGTTACTTGTAAAGTAAACTGGAATTTGATGTTACTTGTAAAGTAAACTGGAATTTGATGTTACTTGGCAACTAGCTTGCACTTAAACTACCATACATTGAGTTTTACTAATGTTAATGATGATCATCCTTCTTCTAGCTCCCACCAACTCTAGTAAAGAGGTGAAACAGTCTGTTTGTGTGTGTATACCTGCTTGTTTTTGTGCATTCAAGCACCATTATACCCAATGCAGCCTTGAAAAACATCAAAAGATGTATTAAAAAAACCCTTGAAAGATTTTGGTGAATTTGACAACAAACCCGGTGAAATATCGTGTCTATCTTTCATCATCATCATCATCATCCCATAACACTACGTGCCGTTGGGTCACCAGTTTCTGTTGACATTCTGATCAGCTCTTTCCACCTTTGGCAGTCAGTTGCGATGGACTTCATGGTTGCACGCCTGAGGCCTGTCTAGTCAGTCAGGTTCTGTAACCAGGTCTTTCTTGGTCTGCCTCTTCTCCTCTTTCCCCCTACTGAGCCCTGCAGTATTGTTTTTGAGAGGCCGTTAGATTTTATTACATGTCCATACAATTGCATTTTTCGACTTTTCACTGTAGTTAAAAGAGGTTCATAGTTGCCATTGTGCTATGTGTCTATCTTTACTGCCTGCATATACCATTGTTAGGGCTGTGTTGGACAGGGAAGACTTGAGCTTTAAGGTTTAGAATTGCCTGGCTAGTTCAGTCACCACAGACTGTGCAGGTTGCAATTTTTGTTTGTTTTCATTGCCCTCAAATATTTGATTTTATTGATCGGGTGGTCTCCCATTTGAGCATAGAGAATAGATCCTTGACAAACTCAGCCAAACCATCATAACATTTGCTGCCATAATTGTATTTGTTAGTGTAAATAGTTCGCTAATTACTGGCATTATGTCATGTTTCCTTCTTGACAGCTATTAACTAAAAGTCCCCACAAACGTTTATGTGATGTCAACAGTCTGCAGGACTTGGACTTCTTCCAGGGCATCTTCTTTCCTGACTTGATTGAACAGAAGGTGGGTACTTTCAGTCTCATTTAATGACAAGCTGGTGCTCTCAACATTGCCCTGCATTTAATCGCTGTCTGTCGCCATCATGGATTGCAAGCAAATATTACAGAAGGCAGTTTTAATTCTAATGCATTGTCATTGGTTTAGATTGGTTTCTTTCAGACGGAGTTCCAACTCTTGAGTGCCCATACTTTGACATTTGGTTGGGCTAGTTGGCTGGTTAGTCATAAATCATCTTGAAGATTAAGGTTTATTAATGGATTTGTTTCTCATTGTTTTGATTAGTTATTTTATCCTATGAAAGGCTGTAAATTTAAACTCTGAACTCCCAGGACCATAGTATAACATCTGTTTTGTAATTACTAAAGAACGTAGTCAGTATCTGTTTAACCCACTATAGTAACATGTCTACAACATTGTTTAAACAACTATTGTAACATGTCTACAACATTGTTTAAACAACTATTGTAACATATCTACAACATTGTTCAAACTACTATTGTAAAATGTCTAAAACATTGTTCAAACTACTATTGTAACATGTCTACAACATTGTTTAAACAACTATTGTAACGTGTCTACAACATTGTTTAAACAACTATTGTAACATTTCTACAACATTGTTCAAACTACTATTGTAACATGCCTACAACATTGTTTATACTATTGTAACATGTCTACAACATTGTTTAAACAACTATTGTAACATGTCCACAACATTGTTTAAACAACTATTGTAACATTTCTACAACATTGTTCAAACTACTATTGTAACATGTCTACAACATTGTTTAAACAACTATTGTTATATGCCTACAACATTGTTTATACTACTGTAACATGTCTACAACATTGTTTAAACAACTATTGTAACATGTCTACAACATTGTTTAAACAACTATTGTAACATGTCTACAACATTGTTTAAACTACTATTGTAACATGTCTACAACATTGTTTAAACTACTATTGTAACATGTCTACAACATTGTTTAAACAACTATTGTAACATGTCTACAACATTGTTTAAACTACTTATGTAACATGTCTACAACATTGTTTAAACAACTATTGTAACATGTCTACAACATTGTTTAAACAACTATTGTAACATGTCTACAACATTGTTTAAACTACTATTGTAACTTGTCTACAACATTGTTTAAACTACTATTGTAACATGTCTACAACATTGTTTAAACAACTATTGTAACATGTCTACAACATTGTTTAAACAACTATTGTAACATGTCTACAACATTGTTTAAACAACTATTGTAACATGTCTACAACATTGTTTAAACTACTATTGTAACTTGTCTACAACATTGTTTAAACTACTATTGTAACATGTCTACAACATTGTTTAAACAACTATTGTAACATGTCTACAACATTGTTCAAACAACTATTGTAACATGTCTACAACATTGTTTGAACAACTATTGTAACATGTCTACAACATTGTTTAAACAGCTATTGTAACATGTCTACAACATTGTTTAAACAACTATTGTAACATGTCTACAACATTGTTTAAACAACTATTGTAACATGTCTACAACATTGTTTAAACAACTATTGTAATATGTCTACAACAATGTTAAAACAACTATTGTAACATGTCTACAACATTGTTCAAACTACTACTGTAACATGTCTAAAACATTGTTCAAACTACTATTGTAACATATCTACAACATTGTTTAAACTACTACTGTAACATGTCTACAACATTGTTTAAACAACTATTTTAACATGTCTACAACATTGTTTAACTCACTATAGTAACATGTCTAAAACATTGTTCAAACTACTATTGTAACATATCTACAACATTGTTTAAACTACTACTGTAATATGTCTACAACATTGTTTAAACAACTATTTTAACATGTCTAAAACATTGTTCAAACTACTATTGTAACATATCTACAACATTGTTTAAACTACTACTGTAACATGTCTACAACATTGTTTAAACAACTATTTTAACATGTCTACAACATTATTTAACTCACTATAGTAACATGTCTAAAACATTGTTTAAACTACTATTGTAACTTATGTAAAACATTGTTTAAACTACTTTTGCAGAATTGTTTGCCTCCAATAATACGTCTATAAACTATTGAACATGTCATGTTACAGCTGAATCCACTTGATGTGGTACCCGAAGACTTTTTCCCAATGACTGGACACAGCTGGGCCCCACAGTTATTGACACCTGAGGAGCAGAGGGACTTTGATCAGGTATGTACATGTTTGATCTGCCAACTGTGTACACTGAGTTCCAGAACTGACTTTTTGTTTAGTTGGTAAATGGGTTTAATCTTCTTTAAAGTAGTGCTGTTCTGATTATGTGCTTAAATTCCAGCATTGTCATCAATGAGAGAAGTACCTCTGGTAGGTGCCTTCTGTGATAGTCCGCAGTTTACTTGCATAGACTTCACTGTCTTGGAATCAATGGTCTTTTATTACTTTCTTCAAAGATGGGCAGAACTAGTCACATGAAGCAAGATCTTGGGAGTATGGAGGGTGTGGAAATGTACCCATAAGTGCTCCGTCCCATCTTCAGCAGCCACCACAGAGTTCCAGTACCACTGGTGCCAGTAGCAATCTGATTATATATCTGTCTTGCCTTTCCTCTGAGCATCGAGTGTCGGCCAGATCGCTTCATCGCTCCATGTTGCATCACTCTAGCCAGACTTTTTGGTTGAGGAAATGATGCTGTAATACCTCCTGGAGGACATTTATGTTGTTTCCAGATCGTATCCATACAGCCAGCATTCATCACCAGGGAGAACTTGTTTGAATCATTCTTGGATTGATCCAGAGGTTCAGTTCACAATGACAAGCAGTTTTTCTTTTGCTGCACTGTCAGGATATTGGCTACTGCAATGCCTCTGTTTACATCCAGTTTGGCTCCAGTCACTAGCAGACTTCTCACTCATGCACTGACACTCAACTCAATAGGTGAAAGATGATCGACACGATGCGATGTCAATCTTTATTGTTCATTCACTTGCTGATTCTTTGGCCAGTACATGGTGAGGCATAAAATAATAGGTGTATAATACATCGAATAAGGTCAACGTTACCTTCGGACAAATTCACAAATGTCCATTTACACAACAGCAGCTGAAAATGACAACTTTCCTCGACAAGCGAACACAACCAATTTCAGTGCTGAGTCAGTTCTAACTGAAGGCCAGGTTGGGCATTGAAAACTCACAACACATCAGATGCCCGCTTTCATTTATAACTTTATACAAACACTTTCTCCACTCCACATGCACAATTTCTTGACCCAGATGAAACTGCCCTTCTAGGGCATTAAATAATCTGCCCAGTTCCTGGTTCTCATGTTTTCCATTTCGCACGAGTTTAGCGATCTTTTCATTGTAACATAATTTATCAGGGAGAAAATGGTTCACTACAGCCACCAATTCTGCAGTCACTGATCTTATTTACAAACCTTTAGTTCGCATTTTCTGACACATACCAGATATTATGGAGATCAAAAATATTTCATGTAAAATGAAGTTACAACTGTTCAGAGCACTTGCTGCTAGTACACAACTTAAATAGCACTAGCTATTATTAGGACAATGATCCCTGTGTGGGTTTCGGGGTCCTGTTATAGGGAAAACAAGAATAGACCCGCTGCCTGTATGGCTGTAAAACGTGGACCTCATCAGCTGAACTCAAAAAAAAAAAAGATGCAAGCATTGGAAATTACGACCTTCACTGTATCATGAATTTGTTTACCAGATTAGCCTCCCTTGGTTTCATAGGTCATGACATAGTCTTGAATGGTGTCTTTATCTAGAGGTGTTGTCCCCAGAGAACCCGACCAGCGCAGCCAAGTACAAGCACAGCTTCCCTTTATGTCCCCGATACTCTGATGAGTAATTTCTATTTCTGTGCAGGTTTGATGACAACTAAAATTTTGTCTGATGAAAATGTTTTACTCCTAAATTGTATTTCTGTTGACAGTTTGATGACAACAATGATCATTATTCTGATGATCCAGCCCATCATAGACAGTCAGTACCTCAGCATCACCCTGATCCTGTTCCCAGAATGCAGCTGTCACATCCACATCACCACCAGCAACACCACACGCATGGTGGGCACCGTTCATCACCAACCGAACAGTCACCACACCCACAGCATCCAGGTGAGAAACAACACAGTCATCAACGTTATTCAGGTGAGAACCAATATGATCAACCGCTTCCTGGTGAGAAACAGCAAGGTCACCAACAGCATCCAGCTGAGAAACAGTATGGTCACCAACAGCATCCAGCTGAGAAACAGTATGGTCACCAACAGCATCCAGGTGAGAAACTACACAGTCAACAAAAGCATCCAGGTGAGAAACAGCACAATCACCAACGTCATTCAGGTGAGAACCAATACGAAAAACAGCTTCCTGGTGAGAAACAGTACGGTCACCAACATCATCCAGCTGAGAAACAGTACAGTCACCAACAGTATCCCCACGATCACAAGAAGCCACTTCAAGACATACCAGGCCCTGCTTCTGCTTCAGGTCATAACAAGCGTCATGTAGACGTGGATTTAGCTAATGAACCTAACAGAAGGTCACCTCCCAGCACACACAAAGATATCAGTAAAGTAAATAGACCAGATAATCTACATCAGAAAAGATACAATAGTCTGGACAATTTGTTGCAACAGGACAGTGCTGATGTCAGTTGGCCATATAATTCTGATGGAGTGAATGGAGGTAGTGAACACATTATAAGAAGTAATTCTAGTGCAGACAGGAGGCACACTGGGGTTAGTGGCAACAGTAACTCTGATACCAGTAGAATTGGCAACAACCTGAAACTTGCAGCCTCCATGACTGCTTTGAATCGTGTAAATTCTCCTGCAGAGAAAACAAATAGAATTAGTCTGGGTGCTGAATACAAAACAGTTGAAGCACCACCAACAGTGACACTGAAAACATTGGTACCTGCAAGTTCTGCACACTCTAAGAACAATGAAAACCATCTGAGCTATGGTTTCACAGCAAGCTTAAATGATTCTACACTCTTGGGGGCAGCTCCTCAGAACTTTGCCATCGATACAGAATCTTATGGATTCAGTACTTCATTAAACAAACCATATTTCTCTGTCCAAGCACAGAACAGTCGATTTCGTTCCCACTCTGAAGGAGTTGGATTGTCAGTTGACAGCAAAGGGTCAGCCCAGGGATACAAAACATTTGAAGTTGCACCAACTATAACACTACCCTCACCTCAGATTAACTTAAGCCAGAACTCAGGTGTGTCTCAGACTAACAAACAACAGCCCGGTATGCCCCAGGACAACCTGCAGCGACCCCAGCCAGCAACCAGTCATTTCTCTGCTCCTGCCAACACTCCGGCCAGTTCTTCCTTCACAAATACCAGCTATGGGCGACTTGAACAGTCTACAGTGGTTTTGAACAGTGCACCACAGAAGAACATAGCTACTCAACGACCAGCTGTACCTGCTAGGCCAGTCCCTGCACAGCGACCAGCAGTGCCAACAAAGCCAACAGTGCCTGTTAAACCCATACCTGCTCCACGGCGATCATTGCGACATAGGTCACACAGCCATGCTGGCCATGGACCAGAGTCACAGGCAAGAGCTGCTTCTCATCAAGACCAAAACAGTTCTCCTGTTAGCCTCAATTATCCATTTAATACTGGCCATGGTCAGTATGTCACGTCAAAACAGCACAATCAAACTGTCATGAATGATCCTTCAGTCAGTCCCCACCCACAAAATGCAAGTGTCATGAATGTTCCATCACTTAATACACAGAACTGGAGTAACGTACAGCTGCCACAGAACCAAATTGTCATGAATGAACCGTCACTAAATCCACAAGATTGGAACACAACACAGCCACCTGTGGAAGAAAACCGACCTCGATCTGGAAGTTTCCCCAGACACGAAAGTGTCTCGAGAACTCCCAGTGTAGAAAGTCAGAACTTTGAATGGAAGCTTCCCATGGGCACAAGACCATCGTTTGTATAGTAAAAGTGACCGACTGTTGAAGCCATCTTCCCATGGGCCAAGACCATCATTTGTATAGTTAAAGTGACCGACTGTTGAAGCCATCTTCCCATGGGCCAAGACCATCATTTGTATAGTTAAAGTGACCGACTGTTTAAGCCATCTTCCCATGGGCCAAGACCATCATTTGTATAGTTAAAGTGACCGACTGTTCAAGCCATCTTCCCATGGGCCAAGACCATCATTTGTATAGTAAAAGTGACCGACTGTTGAAGCCATCTTCCCATGGGCACAAGACCATCATTTGTATAGTTAAAGTGACCGACTGTTGAAGCCATCTTCCAATGGGCCAAGACCATCATTTGTATAGTTAAAGTGACCGACTGTTCAAGCCATCTTCCCATGGGCCAAGACCATCATTTGTATAGTTAAAGTGACCGACTGTTTAAGCCATCTTCCCATGGGCCAAGACCATCATTTGTATAGTAAAAGTGACCGACTGTTAAAGCCATCTTCCCATGGGCACAAGTCCATCATTTGTATAGTTAAAGTGACCGACTGTTGAAGCCATCTTCCAATGGGCACAAGACCATCATTTGTATAGTTGAAATGACTGATTGTGTTGTAGCTAACTCTGAACTTGTGAATAGATGTTCATGTTTATTTTGAATAGTCATGTAATATTCAGTAAATTATACATTGTTGATCATTTGTTATATTTGTACAGTACTTGCCAATTGGTTGACTGTTGGCTTGCCTGGCAATGAGTGTTGTATTAGTTTCTTGTTATTTTGACACAAGAATTATAAGTATTCGTTCAGAGAATACAAGTGGCTTTTTACCAAGCTGTTCGGGGTGACCAGAGTACCCTGCTTGGTCTTGCCTCGGGGTGCAGTATATCTTTCACTTCTTTACCGTATGTGGAGGTTTATATAGAATATTTGTGATGGGAACATACATCTCTATTGTTTTATACTTTGTTGTTGACTGTCATCGTGAAACTGAAAAGTTTACATATGAATTATGTGCCTTGCTTTCATCCATATATATACCAGATGATTGGGTCCAAGCCTACGCTTCTCTGTTTTAACTTGTCCATCTCTTTCACTCATTGTTGCCTTATATAACTGATTGTCCTGTCGTATTCTCAGTAACAAGTATTTGATGTACTGTGTTAGCATAAGCAGTATTACTGGAGCACACATTGGTTGTAATACAGTTTTAACAGTCATGTA